TACTCCGAACTTACTGCATCGTTTGTTTGTTAATAAGTCGCATACTTTCAGTTCCGTTAAAACACTAGTCTAACTGATGTTCTAATAGTTACTATACTTGACCCTTTATTTTCTACCACACAGACATGGTTCTGATACAGTTTACATGAGGAATCCTATCAAAATAAACGCCTGCTAAATGAAACCTCAAAAGATACAAACATCGGTCTAATCCTTAATCACTTTGAACTAGGCTATGGAAGCTATTAAGTGAATATGGCTGGTTTTTAAATAAATACATAGCTTATTAGTAAATTTCGTTCGCCTATAACACTTTCCTGTTAGAGACTTCAAACTGTGTTTCTGAACGAAACATATTCCAAAGAGATATCTTTAGAATATCACACATATGAGATCACTAAACTACTCACTTTTGAGAGGTACTAAGTGGAAAGGCATAAGTTTTCAATAAACTCCATACTGACTATCTTTTTGAGACACTTAAACGACTCAAGTAGGAAATTTGTCTAAAATATCACTGCATTGATCTAAAATACCTAAGACTTTAAAGTATTTTATAGAGCTTCAAAGTGGGTTTACTTTTCTAAGGAATTCTGCTTCAAGTGTAACTACCGCTCATTGTATGAGGACTTCCTAAAGAAATGCAATGAAGTAATATTTGAATATGTCACTAACGAGTTTTCACTGGGTTCTACAAACACAAAATCATATGTATACCAACAGTACTGAAAAGTTGATTAATATACAATCAGATAGGAAAACCATAAAACACAATGTCGAACTAAGAACATCGATTCCTAATCCTGATTCCCTATCATACCAAGGTATAAATGTAGGTAATAAGTAAAATTTCAATTATTTCACACAGATTTAACGCGATGACTTCCATTGAATGAATTCATCTTTTGAACTGTAAACACATCAAGCAATAGAACTTAACCTTTACATGGACGTCAGGAAATGTGATTGCAAAGTCCAAGATACCCATATTCACAGGACTTCTACTGTAACTACAGTGTGTGATCAAATAAGGAGTGAGCTTTACCTGGATTTTCGTCACAAATTAAATTTAGCATTCTGTGTACTCTATTTGTAACAGCAAATTGAAAACACAGTTTGTTGAAAAACACGAATGTTTTTTTAAATCCAAGTTTCTTTTAGCCTCTACATACACAATAGGTTAGATATAAGAAGGTTAACTAGGAGCCTTTAGAATATTTTTTCCTCATTCACTAAGAAATAACCCAGTAACTATGCAACTTACTCAAAATAAAATAGTTTCCCAAAAGTTATTTCTGAAAACTTCTGACATTCTGGAGCTACAATAAAACTGTAGTTTTTAAAGAAATACATTCTACCTCAATAAAGATTTTACCAAATTTCAGAGTGGTCAAACACATACACTTGTAAGGATTTATTGTTCCCAAGCAATCGATTCACAACAGGACCCTACTAAGTATCATTTTGATGATTTTTAACTCGTATAAAGAGTATGCAGTCGAACTACAACGACAAAACTAAGAAGCAGTAAATATTAGCTATAAAAATGTCGATTAAAAGCAATCAGCAGTTTGTTCATAAGATCATCTAAACTTTTGTAAGCCAATATTACTTCGATAAATATGCTATATATAAAATTTACTACGACCATAAAACGCAACCCGAGTCACCAATGGTAATTAGATCACATTAAGCAGGTATAGAAATAAAAACAAAACCAAATCATTAATCTTCCTCAGAATTCCTTAGTTATGCGTAAGAGTTTAGAAAAAATCACTTCGAAGTTTCAAAAGCTCTTAAATACGAAAGGTAGCCGAATTTCCCTGCATTCACTGTTCAAATACACGCAAATCTGTTACTTTCGAACCTCCATAAAAGTCACATTTTCCTCTGCTTAAAAATAGTGTTCATACTTGGGTTTTTTTTACTGAAGTTTACTCACATTTCTCATCTTCACCTGGTAAAGTAAACGACAGTACTTTTAAAACGTTGCTGAATATTTTATTAAGACTACACTTTACATGTTATACAATTTATGACAATTTTCTTTGGTCGACAAAAAAGTTTGCATATGGTTTAAACCAATGAAACTGACTACCGAAGAATAAAAGCCACAATTCCTTAGAAGTAAAAGTGTCAAATTAACCTAGAGAATTTTAATATCGAATATTTTAGTTACACAAGGATTAATAAGGCTCATTATTACATCGAGTTATTCATAAGGTATTTACTTTTCTTATATACAGTTAGCTTCAGATGAATCTTTTCTGATAACCTGTTAGTGTGTTACTACCAAAATAGATTAAATGATAGTTGGATGGATAAATGCATCTTTTTAACAAAAATCCGTGCAAATCAAACATCCAACATCTTGGAATATTTAGTATTTTACTTCCTGCTATTTCAGCTTTACCATCCTCATTTATTTCTTTCAAAATTTATGTGCAAAACACCAAGAAACATTCTATGGGTTTTTACCATCGTGCGTTTTACCATCTTTCGAGTGATGCAGTTAAATATGAAACTCTAAGAAAAATAAAATGGAAGGTACTAATTTTGAAATTGAGTCCATTTTTCATTCTGATAATCTCCCCTGGAACTGTCTTATCTTTATATCATTAAACTTAAAATCAGAATTACCTTAACTTTCGCTTAGCTGAGAATATATCTGTTGTAGTCGTGCACAAAAAAACTCGGTACACCTAAAACCGTAAACATTTTCCTTCACTTTGAGAATCACGAAACTATGCATTTCATATTATTCAATGTTTTACCCCATAAAAACTCTTGACTTCCAATCATAAGTGCTACAACCAATGTTTTACAGAATGAAATAAAAAAGAAATATAATTCATAATGGCCACATTCTTCCCTTCCCAAACATATGACCTTCAACGCCGCATGATTTCCATTATTACCTATTCAACAATTTAAATGTTCTTTTTCGCAAATATTTGCATGAGTTCCTATGCCGCAAATTCACCCGGCTAACTTACTAGAGGCTACTATGTAGTAATGTGATTAGGACAGTTAACATTTTGGGGGTAAGGAGAACAAATACATTATGAAAGCATTGGGGAAGCCGTTAGAAACCTTTGAGATTTAACAGATTATAATATTTTGATCAAACACTGAGAAAAGTCTGAGTTGTGAGCATGAAAATTAAAAAGTTTTTTAAAATATCGACTAAAATTTGACGAAAAATCTGATACCATATGGATTCACATTATTCTCCTGGTAACGCGATCGAGCCTCCTTCAGATCCAAGTTGGGTGATTTTGACACACAAAGTTGCTTAAGACCTTTCCAAAAACCTGATCAAAGGTTAAAGGCTCTGAGGAGACTGATAAATGTGAAAAAGTTTTCGAAAAGTAAAACAACTTCGTAAAATATCGGGAATGTACAACTAATAAATAAACGCTGCCTCAAACAGCTGAGAACGTCCCTTGTTAAGTGATCAACCCTAACTTGTCAATTAACTTTCAGTCATATATACACTCTTCAGAAGATTACCGAAAACTTCAGTGTAATAATGTGCAAAGATGAAAACCACACGCTTTATCATCATAGTATTTTGGAGCATCAGATAGAAATGATTTGCTAAGAAGCGCCAGATGACTATCAGAAAATACTTATCTTGCGAAGTGTGTAAACATATGAGATTGCTAGAAAAGCTCTCCTCCTTCGTGTTTTGGTTCTGCATTCAAAGCCTGAACTAAAGACTTTCTGTGAGGATTAATGGGATACTGTCCGGATGGAAACCTGTGATTAGTGGGGTTCCTCAACGAACAATCCTAGGCCCTCTACTTTTCTTGTTATACGTCAACGGACCACCACAAACGCTCAACTCTTCAGTATGGCTACTTGCCGATGATATAAAAGCTTGGGGACCAATACGTAGTGATACTGATAGATATGCACTTCAAGTGGATTTGGATGAACTGAAAGGTTGGTCCAAAAGTTGGTGCCTGGAAATCAACTCTAGTTAAAGTTAAATAATGCATACCGGTCATAGTGATTTTTTCCGATTTCCCACTGATAGCACACCTCTACTCCCAGCCTTTGAACTTAAGGACTTAGGTGTCATCATTAGTCATGATTTGAAAACTTTGGCATACTGTAATGCAGCTGCTGTAATGGGCTTCCGTGTATTATGGTCCATCCTCAGAGTTTTCAGACGTTTTGATCAGGATATGTTCAGAATACTGTACTCTATTTACACTGGACCTTATCTGGAATACTGTATTTAGGCCGCCAGCCCTTGCCTAAAAAGGGATTTTGGCGTTCGTGAAAGTGTTTATGAGGTAAGCGCTAAGCTTATGGCAGAACTGCCCTATAATGAACAACTAAATCGGCCAAGCCCATTCCCACTGTCTTGCTCTGAGAAACAGGGTGACCTCATATCGGCATTTTGCATACTTAGCGATGAATTTGGTACCGATATACCCTATCTTTTATCTTCTGCTAGGGTTGATTATCTCCAAGGTCACCACAAGAAAATCTAAAACCCCGATTGAATTAACTTAGCGTGAATCTGCGTTTCTTCTACCGTGTGATTAACAACGGAAACCTGTGGCCTCAGCAAGTAGTATCAGCATCTTCAGTCAACGGGTTCAGAAAGAAACTAGATCTTTACAAAGATAGCTTCTGTAAGGTTTAACACAAGCCAAATAACCAAATATCCTTATTCCTGAAAGCTAAAAACAACGCCAAAATGGTTGAATTTTTTAGGACTTATACAGCCTTCGTCTTTAAATGCACTTAAGTCAGTTAGAAAATAATTACTGTGTTGTTTTGAAAATATGATTCACTTGAGTGAGTCAACTGACACTTCTGAAATATCTATTAGTAGTTATTTCAGGGTTGAAATGATACATTTTCTTGACCATTTTAAATAAAAACTGTTAAACTCAGCAACGGGCAAACAGAAATCTGAATACTGAATTTGCACATGATTAGATTAAAATTTAGGGAAAAAAATTAGGTTTCGTGTGACCTACTCATAAAGTACTGGAGGGACCCTTGAGTCACATAATATTATTCCCGTCAAGTTCATAAAGTCGGAAAGACTTTTGGAAGAATTAATAAAACGACTCGGACATCGTCGAACACAAACAGGAGTAGAAAGCTTCTTGTTACCAAAATTGGTATGGTGCAAATATCTACAAATATGACGTATTTGAGTGCTTACTTTTGGCTTGAAACATTTGCTTTTATGAAGTTATACGGTTTCAGAGCTTTTTCACTGCCACAGATGTTTCCATTACAGTCATAATTGTGAAAAACCACATCAATATCTGATAACGACATGATATAAATCCAAATACAAATCTTTTATCTATTGAGGATAAATCAAAAAATACTCACTATCACGACATTTACTGATATGAAGATATAACTGAATACTTTATCAGTGAACTTCCACTCAAGTGTTTCTTCATCGTACATCGTATTACCGCTGCCTCATAATTGACCTTAGATTTGAGTAAGCCGCCTCAATAACTGCTGAAAACTCATAATAGATAAAATGTTCTAATCGGTCTAAATCCAATATGCAACATGTTTTTACGAGCTGGCATTAATCAAGTGATTTCTTCACGCTCGCTTTCAGGTCTTGAGGAACAGTTCAAGATCTTTAGTGCATTCCGACGCAGTAGGTCTATTCCCTCGCATTTTGTGGCTCTGGTTGACCCGACAGATGGTTGGGTGTTAACCATTTTGTAGCAACTATATGGTTTGTCCGAGTAATTTGGTGTAGATGGGCTCTTCAAGCATCGGGCCAACGTACAGCAGTTTCGACCGGTGATGGGAATGGAAATAGTAGTGCAGTTGACAGCGAACAAGTAGACAGATACGCAGGAAGGAATGTTTACTGCTGGCGAGTGGTAAGTAGTCGTTTGAGATGGTAAAACTTATACTAAAACCTTCATTTTCAAAATGTGCTCCATTTCCTTTTCTGCTTCTCTACTGATTTGCTCTTCATACGCCTGCGTTGGCTCTTGCGCCTTTCTCAACAGAATCCTTACCCACTGCTGGTAATTCCATATGATTTCTGCCACCCTCTCAACGCATAGTACTTCTATCATTCCTATCAGCAACGCGCACTGCACTATTAGTAGGGTATAGTAGCCGAGGTAGATGCCCAACAAGTAGGTACGAGGTTTGGTCAAGTTCCTTGTGATAGTGGCGGCACAAAGTTTCGGTACATGCTTGAGTGGGCTGGGTTGTGAGAAGTAGGCTGTACCGACCTAATCCATATACTAGCTGGATGAGCGCAAGCCGCACGTCACCAAGTCGCTCCCTAACGTCTTCTTGAATCTTTCAACAGACGGAGAGTAGCAATCTTGTCGGGCAATACCTTCAATTGGCCGCAAACTCTCAGAGAGAGAAAGCATGAGCTCACGTGAGTGACTGTCTTTGGACTACCTCTTGAACTGCCGGATTGGCCGTTCGGTGAGATTCCATCACTCTGCTGACTCGGATTACTCATCAATTAGTAGCTGAGAGAGTAAAGCTCCAGGTTTTTCAGCCCATCCTTATAGCGTTTTTGCCACATTCCCACAACACACCTTGTTGCCTACATCTACAGACTTACACCTCTTTTCAGGTATGGTGGTGCAGTGACGTTGGGAGCCCCTGATGAGGTCGTACGTAGGTCTTGTAAAGCTTCAGGAAGGGTTCCACGGTAAGGGCACTTAGTTGTATACCCATGAAGTGCCGTACTGCATTGACTCTGGAGGCGTCTTCTGGATAACTGGAGCAGATGTCTAGCCTGTCAGTCAGTATTAGCCCCAGGTTTTTCTTTGTGGTTGTGTCGGAAAGTCACATTCCACGGAGAGAGTAGGAGTTAGAGGTACGGAGAAACATCGTTTGGCACCCACCCAGGTTAAATGCGAGTCCATTATTATTCACCCGCTCTGCAAGCAATCTGAGATCACCTTGTTGTGCACTTGATTCTGCTTCCCATATCACAGCTTATCATAACTTAGCGCCGTCAGCCTAAAGTAAAATTGGGGAGCTGAGGCTCATTGAGGGGTCGCCCACAAGAAGAACGAATGTTAGCGAACCTAGGATTGCCCCTTGTGATACATCCAAGTCGGGCGAACCTTGTTGACATCTATGCAGAATTCTGTGCAGTCTTATTGGTCCTGCAGGAGAGCCGGGAGAGCACTTGGCCGTTGACGCCCAACCATATTATTTTTTGATGGTAATGAAGCATGAGACTGTCAGACACCCTGGCGAAATCCGGAGACATCACCTGAACAGAGACTCGGAGGTTCCAGCATGTTGTTCAGTTATCACCGGCCACCAGAAGGTTCGAGGAGCAGGACCCACGCTTTCTGAAGCTACGATGAGCATCACTTGGTACTCCCCACTTGCCCAAGTTTCCCCTTGATATGGTTGCCCACCAGGCTACCAATTACTTTCGACAGCAGCAGTGGAAGTGCTATGAGTCAGCAGTACTTCCAGTTCTGTCTGTCTCCTCCTCTGAAGATGGCAGATAGAAAAGCACACCACCACTAAAGTGGAAGCATGGGTTACCGAAACAGATTACAAAACCACCACATTGTTTCAACACGGACGGCCGAATCCCGTCGCATCCTGAGTGGAACTGCGACGGTTTTCCGAGGACCATAGCAAGGGTTGCTGAAGGCTGATCATGCAGTTGATAATCTTGATTGGTTGACATCAGTCCAGTTGTGCTGAGTGCGACGATAAAGGTTTCGGTGGTATCAGGCTCAGAGAGGTGCACTCCCCTGGGGCCTTTTATGACGCAATCCCCCAGACCAGTGAATTTTCTCTCCACCCAGGATCGATATGGGTTTTTGGAGTTCGCCTCGAGCTTCTGGGTATGGTCTATCTGGAACGACTTCCTGCACCCCTTCATTGGCGTTGCATCGAATCCTCATGGCCATAGATGAAACACGATCTGCCTTTTTTCTGGAGATCCTCCAGTTATGCTTTGCTCATCTTTCGGCTCTCAAGAGGCGTTCAGCGCCTCACTTCTCGGGTATTGCTGGGACCACTGGGACGCTCCCTGAGATAGTCCTCTTAATGACATCCCTTACTGGCTCCCGGTGTCGATCAGTCGACATGGTACTCTACTCCTGGGGCGACGGTGCTGCCAACAGATACTGATCCATCACCAGGTGCATTACCGTGCCGTAGCAAAGGCAAGGGAGGGACTCCTCTCAAGATAGTTGTCCAGTGAGTGCCGGATCACGTACTACTTCCAGGTATTGGCAAAAAGGCGGCTTGATACGACATGTACGAAGTCTACTGCTTAGAAACTTAGTCTCAGTACAAGCAATTGTGGCTGGATATGTCTTGGCGCCCCCTTGATAGACATCCAACTACGCCCTCGGTCTGCGAGGCTACCTGCTCCCAAAAGCTTCCATTTCTTGTGCTAAGACACCCGGGCGACCTCATATTTTCTGAACAGGTGGCATCACAGGCTCTCAAATCTGGTATTTTAATGGGTTGCATAGTCCGGGACTTTAACCCCGAATACGCCAATTTACTGCTACACAAGACTTGCGCACGTTCACTACTAGAATATTGTCCACTTAAATTGAGTGGCATCCACAAACCAGAAATGAGGGGTGTCCAGAGGTACTTTACAGCTGTGCTACTAGGGAACGATTGCATACAGGACTACAATTCTAAATGCAGGAACCAACATCCAGAACCACTCTAGATGAAATGGCCCACAACTAGCCCGATACCCTTCTTCGGCGTGCTGCACAAGTCCACTTTTACAGCCAGTGGTGAGCTTCAATTCAGACACAGCAGTTGCCACCATGTGCACAACCACTCCCACAGAGTCAAAAATGAACCTGTTTAAATCCCTCTTCCGTACAAATTTCTCCATCGTAAAATTCCCTCAGTTTGGGGACAGACTTCATTCTAAAGTAAAGGCCTCCAAGTTAACGTCTGAATTCAGTCTGTCGCTGATTAAGTCCTTACCCTCTGGTTACTTATCCACCTCAGTCGGTGCGCCATCACTATCCTGTACCGCAAACATAATTTTAGTTGGGGATAAGTCAAATTTGGCATTTTCATCATTACTATTACCTAAGTCTGGGGGACGATCATTGAGGTTTTCCAGTTAAGAATCTGGACACCTAAAATTTGAAGCTACTCAATTCAAGCCTTGTTAATAAGCAACCATTAGGGAGGGCTGTGGACATATCTGTTGTGGAACTGTTATAGAACCCTTTCGGAACTTAGTGAGGGAAGTTGAAGTGGAAGGGTTTTCTAGATGATCTATTGCTAATTATTGTGCATAATAAACTAGTTTTATGTCCACGAAGGCAGAAGTGATACGTATTGCCATGAGACTGTGTGCCGCCGAGGTCGGAAACTCAAAAATGCTAGCTGTGAACCACCTTTTCCTGGCTTGTTTTCAATCGTAGGTATGACGAAAGTTTTGGTAGGAGCGAAAATCATGTTTACTGAGAGTGTAAAAGCAGCGCGTAAAGGAGAAGGAGAAGCAGTTCAACAAGTTCATTCTCAGAGAGGTAACGAGGGCTAAATTTCTCAACGTTCCTCATTCAAAAACTACAGTGCGCAGTCACATACCATTTTACAGGTACGTATAAATTTCTGAGCATCATTGAGTGCCATCCTAGCATCTTCCAGATGGTGAGAGCGGAGGTATGGGTGACTTTTTAAGTATATACTTATAGATAAGCCCGTAAACTTGCACTGCAAAATGACGACAAGGTGTCTTTCAAGTGCGCAATGCCTGAATACTAAAGGAACAGACGACATTCTATCTCCTCTGACCTATCCAATTCTGTTGACACTTAGCACTTTCGGCGAAATTATTATCGTGTCACTGCATGAGGGTCTGAAAAAGGACTATTTATTTGGCTCGAGACGCAACTGATCATCCCGCTCTTACAAGATTAAGCCACGCATTCTCCCAATCCAAGCCGTTCGGTAATCATCTCTGTCAACAAAGGGTGGACAAGGTCCTTTGGGAATGCCTTAATCGTGTCAACATTTAACTCCTCGAAAGGGGACATGCCCCTACGGTGATCTGTGTCCGTTTGACGTCAGAGGCTACGGCTTGTTCTAAGATAACGAGGCGCTGTGAGGAAGGTCATGCAGTCCACTTTTCTCCCACGTATGGTTGAAAGTCGTGTACTGACATCTGCTTAGCCTACGACCCATTCGGTATATTACAAATCACACGTCTTTGTAATACAGACGCTTCGATACCGCCACCTAACTAGAGATCAGCCTAATATGCGTCGACCGAAATTCGACCACGGTGTACCCCAAGCCCCACAAACGTCAAGCGCCTTACGTAGGCACCCACTAGAAAAGCTTCACTAACCTTAGGGACTGATAATCTTTCCAATACCAGCCACATTTGCAAACTGGAGTTCACGGGCAGTTGGTTGTCGCTTACATCCAACTGCAATGAAAGTATTCCTTTCTCAGCCGCTTCTCGT